CAAGAGTATTTAAAATTACATGAAATAATATTTGAGGACCAATTTCGATTTCGTAATAAACATGCAACAATAGAATAAATTAATAGAGTAGCTACTAAAATTAGAAAAACCTTTAAAAAAAATAAATACTGCACCGCAGTAATTCCTGAAGTAGCTCAAGTCATTGATAAAATTTGGCATAAAGGTTTACTATTCATAAAATCTTACCTAAGAATCTTTACTTACTCTTAGTTTCATACCCAAATGATAGAACTTTTAAAGTAAAAATAAATAATGAAATAATTAAATTAAGCCGGTAACATTCCTCAAGGTAGTGTTCTCAAACCATTATTATATTCAAATTTACACCCATGACCTTCCAACCGCGGAAGGTATAAGTATCGCCACTTGTGCAGATGACAGTGACATTAATTTCACATCCTAATACAACGCAAGCCTCTACAAATATGCAGAAGTACCTGAAAATAGTCTAACTTTGATTCGAAAAAACTCGTACAATTCAACATCCTATACAGTCTGAAAACTTGTCAGTGAAACCACGAAATACGTTTTTATGAAATAAACAAGGGTTGTGGTGGCATTACTTGGAGTGTTGCAAATTTATAAGTGAATTTATCGAGCACGTCGCTGTTTGTGAGAAGTATTAGTCAAGTACTTTGTAAGCAACTTACTTGTTCATTTCTGAAGGTGCTTCAACTTCGATAAGTCAACCTTCCAAGAGGCGTATACGTAGACTATGCGTTATCTTGCGGGCAACTGCAAAATTTTCGGTGAGGAAAATGCTGAGTACCGCATGTAGCAAGTGAATACATACATATACCACACATAAGTGCGTGCACACGCACACATACACACAAACAAACATATATATATATATATATATATATATATATATATATATATATATATATATATATATATATACACATATACGTATATATACACGTACGACAGCGAGAATAAAAAAGGTAAGAACCATTAATGAGAAAACACACGCACGCGTGTGATATCACGCTGATGAATCCGCAACTTGAATTTTTTTCGCAGAGTATTTAAAATGAAAGTCTCGTCATCATTTGTCATGAAAATGATATGCTTGTACATCTGCATTTCCAACTTTCCAATGACAGTTCAAAAAAGCGTATCATAACGCGAACATGCGATTTGAAATGATAATTTTTTAGGTAACAAGCGTTTTTTATGTGCATTTTACGGGCTCATTTTTTTGAATCCAGATGTGCGTGTATGTGCGTGCACGCGAGTGTGTGCCTACACAAGGGCTTGGGGTAAATTGTCGCTCGCACTATTAATATCTGTCCTACGGAGAATCTCAACTATTTGGCGAGCCTTTGAAGAGATATTAAAATTTATTAGAGGGATTTATCTACATGCGAACTCAACGTTCGCGGCCGACGATGAAATAAACATTACGGAAAGCATTTTTCATGCAGTGCATAAGGGAAATTAATTTTAATTTTACATATTTACGTTGGGAAAAATAGATTTCCTACACCATTACGAGGCGTTAGATGTAGTTATAAATGCTTGTCGGCCATGTTTGTTCTTGAAACAGAACGGAAATTTCATTATGCTTATATAATACAAGAATGTAAAATTAAGTAGAACAGACCAATGTGAGTGTCGTCAGGGAGATGATGAATGTATCCTTTGCATCGGATTTTCGGTGAAGTCACATTCACATGGAATGGAGGTTGAATTGAAACTACCTTTAAGATGTAATAACAATCTCTAATGGCTGCTAGTTAATTGAAAAGCATTCTCAGCTTCTAAATAGCTCTTTCATCGAAGATAAAAATCAATTTAGCGCTCCAGGCGGTCTTTGATCGAATATACCTACAGCCATCCGAGCTTCGCTGAGAGGATTTGCGAATTCCGAGCACGGATAAATCGCAAGAAGGTCGTCGCGCGTCACTGCATGGCGTCAGTACTACTCTCCTCATATATATTGAATTTCGCCCTGAACAGACGGCACGAACGCTTTTCAGGTGTGCGTGTGTGTGCGCGCGCGCGTACAATCGACGACTAGGTTCTGCTCTCGAGGCTCTCCCACACCTAACGAAATATGGATGGCGCAGGTGAGCGATGGCAAGAAAAGTAAAACAAATATAACAACGATACTAGCTGTGCACTTGACGAATGTAATTTTCATTGACGAGTATTTTCAATGGACTGATAAATGTTAATTTTCATAAAAAAATAGTACGACTTTTTTATCTTACGAGGGCATGCATTACCCTAATGAATCCCTTTTATGACATATTCATAAATTTTCCGATACAACAAGTGCGGCATCGTGCGTGCGTTATCTTACGGAAATTTATTTACTTTATTTTTTTTATTTATTTTTTTTGTTGGTACCGACGTGACCAAACTTTTTAATTTATTAACAGGCTCTTGCGAGTCCTTGTATTTCTATGTGAATCAATGCGCATTTTAGTGAAATATCTCTAATCGTCTTTTATTTTACATGTGTTTTATATGATACATTTGCATGAAGACAACGGATACTTTTAATACGTCATTAAGTTATCTTAAATTAACGATAGTAGTAGTAGAATCGATTGATGGTAGCGACTTACACATTTAAACTTATGTCGAGACATAATATCATCAATTATGTATTATGACACTTAGTTCAATACAGACATCGGAATAAATGATAGAATTCCACATTAATTGAGTATTTAATTATTTCATGTAACTTTCCAGTAAATTAAGAAAAGTTGAATAAATGTAATAGTTGATGAAATTAATAATTGAAGATGAATAATCGAAGCAATCATACGGTTTGCAATATCCTGCTAATCGACAAGCAAAGCAATTTGAAATGCCATAACTGCTCGTTCTGAGAAGTAACTGTTAGCCAGTATCATTTCCATCAATAATTTTTGATTGTATGCGGTAAGAAGCCACTCGTGGTCAGGAAGATTTTAGCTCACAGCTCACGCGGGCATAAAATAAACAAACGCGACAGTATCGCGCGGCTCGTTCGCAGGCTAGCAAAAGGAACAGGGAAGAACGCCAGGCGCAAGCATATCGGTAAAATTATGCGGGTTGTAAATCGATGATGTACAGTACGGCTAGCTGCACAAATGGAAGTCACCCACGAAAGTGAGGTAGAGTCTGGGTTATATGCACTACGACCGTCCACACGGTTATCGGCGACGTGTTTTCGGAACGAAACGACTACGGCAAAAGCATTATTGCTCATAACACTTGGGCGATGCATGCGGCCACCGTCGCCGCTCGCCACTCGCCACCAACGTCTCGTATGTTTATCTTCCCTTTTGTCCTGCTCAACACTGAATGCTGCTGTTTAATCAGAGAAAATTATTATTCAAGAGAATTTTTTGTGCACTAGACAGAAAGGCGCTTTCTGCTAAATACTACTTAACACGATTATTATCGGCAGTAGTTGGATCAAATCTTTTACATTTTTTCCACTATAACTTGCTTTGATCTTACTTATTTCGAGTATATAAGGTTTACGCGCTGTCACTTCAATTAATTTAATTAACCATTTACTTCTTTTAAATTCCTTTCTAATAATTTCTTTTTCTCAAGTAATGGTCCTCACTCAGTTCGAGTAATTATCCGTTTACGAACTCATATTAAGATCATAAGTGATAAACCTTACTAAAAACAAGTTTCAAACTTTTAAGCAGACCACGAGTGTTGAATAAGAAAAACCCACGACTTTATTGCTTTAATACTTTTTGCTTATTTATTTTATACATTTCATACGGGTCTTAAATTTTATTGGTTTAATGTGGTAGAAACTCCATTTCTGAACGAAATAATTTGATATTTATGATTAAATTGCAAACTCCCTGAATGTCATATCTGTACATTTCAACTTATTCAATATTTACTCAATTTTTATTCTCGATAATATTATAACTTATAGCGAATATTTTGCCAAACGAAACCGATTTATTCAAGATCTCCAAAATTACGCTACGCGAACCTAGATGCACTCGATTCCCATGATGTATAATTCACAAAGTTCGTACTTTTGGAAGTCCTTAAATTGTACACTCTTTTAAAACTAAAATTTTGAAAAACTTTGAAATGTTAATGCACGTCGACCGCATGAAAAAATACAAGAGCTACCGACACACACATGCATATGCAACAATCCTGCGGTAATCGAGTGAAATTGAAATTTCAAACTAGAGCTTCGCGAAAAAGGGAAACTCGCGCGCGCAGTGCGTCAGCAAGCAGCGTAGCCGTAGAGAAGCGCTTGCTCATTAGCCGTAACGAGGAGGAACACGAAGCTCGAGCATTAGGTATTACGCGCAGGAAAGAGCGAGTCCGTAGTTGTTCGTCGGTTCCTCTATCTTTTTTCTCCTACTTTTCTCAAGGTCGATCTTGCGCGCGGCTGCCGAGTGGGATTTGTTCGCTAGAGGGAGGACCTGCAAATTGAAAGTGAAGCCCCAGAGCTTGGCGGCTAAGCTCTTATTACGCTTCCAGTCAAGATGGTTAGATATCGAGGACTTGAATTTCAAGCTCACCTATTGCTGTGTACTCTCATAAGTGGCAAAGCGCGCTAAATCGATTTCATATCGATATCGAATATCGGATAAATGAAAAGTCAATCGATTCTAATAAAAATTCGGTTTACTCATGAATTTTATATTAACATTAAAACAATCATAACTTATTGCATTACTCCTAATAAAAAATTCAATTTATTGTACATATTAAATGTGGTTCAAATACAATTAATGAATTCAATTTATTGACACCCACAAGCGGTATTTCGAATTTGGATAAGACTTTAGATGAAGTATGCATTCGACATAATAAATTAATTAATTTATTGTTGTTCTCAACCACTATATTCCATTTGGGTAACAGTTAGGTTAAAGAATGCATAAATAAAATATACGACAATCGACGCCGAATAAATAAATTTAGCAATGATATTATGATTAACTGAAGTCTCAAACTAATGGGAATCCCTTTAAATTTTTCAGCGACACCGGCGTGGTACAGACAAGAGCAGCCCTGTCCGATCGCAGGCGACTTTTGCATGAACGGTGGTACCTGTCTATTCTTTGAGACGGTAGGAGAGCCAGCCTGCAGGTAAAGTAACATTTCAAGCGATACCTAAATTTTCTGCCCCCATTCACCGATGGTCCTTCAACTCAAATTTAGTAGGAGCAAATAGATTTTTCTCTTTTCAATTTAACTTTACAGAAAATGAAAAAAAAAAATTTTTCAAAATTCATTTTCCACGCATATCTCCCATACATAATGCGTTCATATTTGCTGGGAGTGGATTCCGAATATTGTTCTAACCGATTGCCATTGAATTACCTTTAATCGAATTGTTTGCCTCGAGACTAACTTCGTCCACATTCAGCCGAGCGATTCTTATTTACTGCTAGAATTTTTCCTTCTTCGCTCGCTCTCTGCCCCCCCCCCCCCGCCTCTCTCTCTTCTCATTTCAACCAACTTTTACTAGTCCGGAAATCCCAGCAGCCATATAGCTACTCCGACAATTTTCAGCAATCTTCGTGAAACGAGTAAATCGCTGGGTCGGGTAACCTCGTACGCGCGGACCTCCTGCAACTTTTCTAGAAAAAGCTCTGATATCTGTCGTAGATGCTGTATATTCCATTTGGAAAAACTTTTAGTTGCACCATAGCTTAATGTCCGAAAATACATGATTATCGATGATGTTTCAATAGGCACGTATATTGCACGGGATGTTTAATCATATGAGTTTTCCCTCGTGAAATTTCGTGAACAGCGGCCCTAGGCACGCACAATAACGAAATCGCCGCATGATCGATCGGCCATTATTATTGCTCCGCGGTCGCGCGCAGATTAACGCTCAGGCACAGGTATGCAAAGACCGCAACATACTGTTTTTTATTTATTTTGTTAAGCTAACGTGGAATTGCGCGCAGATGATGCTTTGTTCGTGACATCGTTGAAAAAATTTAACAAAGCGCGTGCGCACAGAGGATGAGAGGAGAAAAGGAAAGGGGAAATGACGTATTAATTTTATAATACTAGCAAACTGCCCGTAAAGTGATCGTTGGCTTCGAAGTGGCAATTAATACCATACAATGAAATATTTTAATTAAATGCGGACTTTGCGCGAGCATACCGGAATGTGTTTCGCATTTTGAAAAACTGGCGCTACCTGTATAATTTATCTCCGAACACATAACATTGCTGATCGAACGTTACGCATTCCAGCCAACTAGCTTCAACTACACGAGTTAAAAGCGCGATTTTCGTCGGAATTCCATTCTATAGAAAATCGGAAACTTGAAAAATCTTCGAATCTAACATACGTCCAATACTTGGCGAAAGTTTCATTACTAGCTAGTTAGTTATTCTTTTTTCTAACCGGGCTTCAGCTCGTTTGAAAGTTCACAGCACGCATCAGCAAAGCGCAGTTAGCTTGGAATTAATAGGAAAACTTGCACAAGCTCATCTGTGCACGTGCTTCCATGTGTGTATCTGTTTTTTCTACTCTCGCGCGTTGCGTGCGAGTGTGTGCGTGTGTGCACATGCCCGGAGTTATACTATCCGCGCTCTCGTCGCGAAACTTGCGTTATCGTCTTAGCGCCTCTTTGAGGCTCGCTCGAGTGTGTTTATGCATGCGCGATGTCGTTGCATACATTACGAAAGGCGCGCGTCTGAGCAGCAGAATCCCTCTGGAGCGATGGTGAGCGAGCGAAGGGTGCCGGCACTGGAACTTGTTCAACAAATTTAGCCCGAGAGCGATTCGCGCGTGATAAAAGTCAGAGAGACGGAGAGGGGCCGCTTGTTGGTCTCTGCCGGGGGCGTGCAGAGACCAAGAAGCGCCCATTAGAGGCAGTGGCCTGTTAGCGGCGCGCAGCATGCCAGGTCAAGCCTATAGTCAGCACCTTGGTCAAAGGGAAAGAGTAGCGCGGGAGACAGGTGCAACCTCACGTCGCGTTAAGGTTGTCCATTGTTGTGCAACCGCGCGCGAAACCGCACTCGACAACTTTGCATGGCAATTTCGCACGAGTGCTACGTGCGACAGTATTATATTATCACTCAGTCAACAATGTTTATTGACCATTTTCACCTCTTTCGACCGTTATCCGATGGTATTACGAAGCAAGTGGCATTGTACCATGATGGCGTTCCGCCATAAATCGATCTGATAACGATGGACTTAATCAAACAACCAGACCGTAAACCATTTAGATCCATAAAGAAAATCAAACAGAATTCAATCCCTTTCTAACTGTACAAATAGTACCAGAGTTCCATATACCTTCATACCAAGCGTACAACGACACGAGAGGAGTCAGTGAGGAAAGCCGAACCCTTCAGCCATGAACAAACATACAAAGAATCAATAGATCCTCATTACTGCGAAACAGCCGCGCGCTATTAGTCCAATCCCAATCAGCTAACCTCGTACTCAAAGGCATATCAACGCCATGTGCTCCTGCAGAACGGAACCCGTGTATATCAGCTCGAAGGATGTCACCGAAGCGCGAATAAGTAAACTTCGCTTTATATACCTCTCCATAGCTTTCGAAGATAAAATAGAAAGAAATCTTGGCAGACGGCTACCATATCCGCGCGCCCCATTGCGTTCTATAGCTATCCAATAATAAAGTCCAAATGACGTTATTACATAGATGAGATTGCCAGTGTGGCTGCTTGGAGTATCTCATCTGCGGGAGCTTGTGGGAAGGAGGAGTGTAATTTCCTGACACGGGCCGAATCTACCGATTCTCAATAGAAGCCAGATCATTTTGTATAGTGTGTTTGTGTGTGTGTTAGTGTATAAATACACTGAGAGAGTGAGTGAGAGAAAGGGAAGAGAGCTTGCAAAATTGCACCGAGAGACCAGAGAGAAGGCAAGTCTCGACAGACGCGTATTCGCAGGAAGCAAAATTGGGTGTCAGTGAATGCAGCATCCCTTTGACATCTATTAATCAGTCCTCGGTGCACTACATACTTACAATCGCGCACTTGCAATCAGTTCCACTACGGATAAGCGATAACTGAATTGAGAACGTTGATGTTGGGTAACAGTCATTTTATTGAAATAACAAAACAACAGAAAGTTTTTTATTTTCCGATTTCGTGCTCCTAATTAAATAAATATTGATATTTAATTTCCCGTTGAAAGCAAATTCGTGAAAATAAAACAAAATAGTTGGTTGTAAGTACACGTTATTATTAAGTTTTTGAAAATTGACGTATAACCGTTAATCCTGGATCACTAATATATCTATCAGTACTTTAATTTTCAAAATAGTGATATAATCATGAATAGTGCAAGATTATATTTATAAGATATTTCAGGATTAATCAATCAATTAAAATTTTGTGCTTTGGTAAATCTGTTATTCTTCAAGATTTACGCCAAAGTGCAATGCAACAGGGCAATCGTGCTTAAACGTGTCTCCTTATTTAGCGTCAACATTCTTTTTTTTTTCTACGGTTATAAATCTCTCGACTCATTTATATCCGTTAACCTCTCCCCCTTTATACACAATTTCTTGTTAACCCACATGCGCACGCACGCACACATATACAAACTTGACAACAAATTTTCACGCGAAATATGACGTCGCGTAGGACAAACAACAGGGTTAAAGAGAGAGAGAGAGAGATAGAGAGAGAGAGAGAGAGAGAGAGAGAGAGAGAGAAGCACCGCGACGATTTCACCCCTGCGTGCACTTGCTCACGGCGCGTACAAGCATGAAACAGTGCCACACCACGTTGCACGAGTCCCTTGTTTTTCCCGCTGCATGGTGGTTATCGTGAGCGTTTTCTTGCTCTTCTTTCGTTTCTTATTAGTTAGGCCACTTTAAGTGGTCACGGTACTTATGGGACACAAACTAAAGCTAACGAATTGCCGCGTAAGAGCGTACAGGTGTATGTTAAAGGCAATCTTTTTAAATGTAATTTTTATCTATGCAGATTTTTCGCAACAACTCAACTTCAATTTATTTGGATGTCATTTTAAAAACATTAAGTAATCTATCACTTTTTTGAAAATAATTATATCCATAACGTGTTGTAAAATAGAAGCCATAAGTAAGAAACATGATTATTTACAGTCTGAAGAATCTTTTGGAAAAAGGAATTGAAGACGTAATATTTTTTAGTGGACTGTAATGAGAAAAGCACCGAAAAGCTGAGTAGTAGATAAAAATCGTTTAAATATTCTTTTCTTCAAAGTTCTTACTTGCAACATAGCACTTTGATACAAGCACAATACAAAGTGAAAACAGCAGCCTCGAAGCTTAGCATTTTCGAGAATGTCTCCAGAGCAATAGTATGTATATGTATATGTATGTTTGTTCTGAGGTTTCTAAGTTTTCGTCGTCGAATGAGCACGTAGAAGCCTGTGCATAGATTAAATCGCTCGTCGAGCGTTAAGTACTGTATACGCAACCGTCGCCGTCGTTGCAAATGAGATAGTAGAATGAATCTTCAGACTCAGTTTACCATAAATATAAATTGCTTCTCTCTCTCTCTCTCTCTCTCTCTCTCTCTCTCTCTCTCTCTCTCTCTCTCTCTCTTCTCGACTAATTACTCACATCTAGTCACAAAACGAAGCCTTGTTTCTTGGCAATAAATAAAAATTTAACGGAACTTTATTCGGCATTATATTCAAAGATGACTTTGTTTGACAAGCGAGCTTTCAAGCTGCTTAACCGAGCGTCGTACTCATTTTGGATGTTTTTGCGCCAGAAAACTTTCAAAGCAAGCTCTCCTCTGTGCGAATAATCTCGATAATCCATTATTGTCCTTGCAAAACTCTTCTACATTTCAAAAAACAACAGTAACGACGTGTCATGTAGAGGGACAGAGAGAGAAGATTGCGCGTACGGCCGAAATAGCTTGGCAGCAACAGTGTAGCAGACGTATGTGTATATATTTGGCTTGGACTTGCTAATTTCTAAGCCGGCGCCTCTCTCTCTCTCTCTCTCCCTTTCTCAAATGATTAAAGGTTCCGGGAAAGTGTCTCTCTGTCATCGTCGTTGCTGTTTACGCTCTTTTATTCCCTTCTCTTTTTTGTTACTCTCTGCTTCTCGTATTCCATTGACTCGTTGACTTGCTACTGGAAT